AAAATGCCATAAATTCATACATAAATTAGTTCTGAGGTCGTTATAAAAAAGGGGTATAAGCAATAGCAGCCATTTTGATTCTTGTTTTTGGCATCTGTGATAGATGTACATGGGTTATTTATATAATGTGTTGTATAAAGTTACATCGTTTGAGGTATAAAAGTTACTGGAGTAAAATGGTTTGGTATATTAGGTATCAGGTCTGTAATTTTGATTTCAAATAATTCATATATAGGTAGGGCAGATTGGGGTAAAATGACAAATTTAAATAATGTTCTCACAAAACAATTGTAAAGTATAGTCTTTCCGATCTCAATTGAAGAAGTAAGAGATTGGCAGTATATATCAGGTTGCGTCGCTGAGGCAGCAATTTGGCATTGAAATATTTGAAATACTTGTTCCCATATTTATTTAGCCATACCCATATACAGGTCTGGTCGAACTAAACGTGGAAGTGTTAGAAATGTATACGCCCAGTTGAAGAATGCACGGCGTTATAACACAGCCGCACTAAGCGACTGGGCAATAAATTTCACTTGTTGACAAGTGGTTGACAAATTGCCTAGCAGTGCAGTGCAGCAATGTGGAATTTGGTGTGATTTAGGTAATTTTAATTTATTATGGGCACCTTCTATTAATCATTCACATTACAATTGCGAAAGGAAGCAATAAATAGGGTTATTTTTACTAATATACTAATATTATTACAACATGGCATTTTGTAGAGCTTTTGCAACGGAACAAAATGAAGGAATGAGGAATTGTTTGAGGACATAAATAATTAAAATATGTTTTTGGCCAAATGAACATATAATAGAAATTTTTCACACATTATACAGGGTGGTCCGAATTTTATGCAGGAAACTTCGAGAGCAGATAGATCTCTTTAAAATAATATGTGTTTGCCTTATAAACATTGGCCTGGAACAGCCCCGTTTTAGAGATACAGGATGTTGAAGTTGTTAAAAAAAAATGGATTTTTTGTTTGTACCTCTGGAATTTATTAACCGATCTCAATAAAATTTGGCACAGATAATGTATGATAGTAGGCCTTATACTTTCTAAAATATGAGCTTTAAAAGTTCGACCAGTGATGTACAATTGGACAGGGGTCACCTCTGTTTTTACAAAAAAAACCTACGCCACTGCATTTTTTACAAGTCATTGTAACTGATTTATATTCTAATACACAAAATACCTACGTAAAAAAGGTGACTTTAATTTTTTCCCTACGATTCGCCGTTCTCAAGTTATTCATAGCAATATATTCCCCTCGTGGCAGACACTTCTAACCATAATATTACAAGAATATTTATGTTTATGCTTAAAAGTAAGTGGAATTTGTAAGCACATCAACAAAATTATTTACACTACTTTCTACACCACCTGTGAGGTAGTGTTCCTGGCGTGTTTTAGTTTTCTTCAACACCCTGTATCTCTAAATCGGGGCTGTTCCAGACCAATGCTTATAAGGCAAACGCATATTATTTTTTTCTGACCTCGAAGTTTCCTGCATAAAATTCGGACCACCCTGTATACAAATTATTATAATTTTTCACCTTTAGCAGAAAATTTTGTTTGGGACGCCTATGAAACTCATTAAATTTTATTGTTAGGCGTTTTTATACATGTTCAACTGACTTCGGATTTACTATACTATAACTATTCAGTAGTTTATTGAAGCATTTTTTTACGATTTTCAAGTAATTATTGATTCACATTATAACCATAAATCAACCTCAGTTAGTTGTTACCACCTATGAAGTCTGCATGTTTTGCTTTGATTTAATTCAAACTAAAAACATTATAACGAGCGTTCAAATAAAAACGTGGTCAAGTTGGTTCTGAACGTAGGGCGTAGCGTATAGCAAATGAACTTAAACGTCATCTGTCAAAGCGCTATATCGCCGCTATCAATTTGAATATTTTCGTTTTAAAAAGCGTTTAAAATGGTGTTTTCTCAAGAACAAAAAGTGTTTATCATAGAGCCCTACTTTAGAAATGGACGCAAGATTGATGGAATATGGAAGTATTCTATTGAGGAATGTTTCATAGAATTTCAAAATCAATTTCCCGGCGTTGTTGAGTACAAAATTTTTCAAAGTGCAGTTCAGCGTTGTGTTAATGTTTTTCGTGAAACGGGCAGTGTAACAAGAAAAGAAGGAAGCGGCCGACCTAAAAAGCGGACTGAAGAATTAAAAGAAAATGTCCAACAAATAATGGAAAATGCGCCAAGAACTTCTGT